CCCCCCCCCCCAATTTGAAATAATTCTTATATCAGCAAGGCGCTGTAGCCTTAAAGGCTTGATTTCCAAAGACAAGCTCAGTGTATGGTTTAGTGCTAGTGACAATTACAATATACTTCTTGTGATCAATTCTCTAAATGCAATCTTATTCTCTAGCATTTGTGACAAACTAGATAGGATCCAGTATGCCATTTGTGTTGACTGATGTCACTGAGAACTTGCACTTTTGAAGGATTGTTGTCTCTCGTACTTCAGATGACCTGGTGGCTGTGTTTCGTTCATATGAGATAGTCAGAAATCATATGCACAAATCTCCATGGAGACCTTTTAAAGCTCCAGTTCAAGTTCGCAACAGGAAAAGTTATACTAGGTTAGGCAAACTATTTTCATTATATTTCATAACGTAATAAAATTTTGTGAAATTATAAGCTTTTAAAAATAGACCGATTTATGAAGATTAATTTTATTAGGTAACCAAATTATTGTTTGCTGGTTTAGAAACCACTATCACAGATACCAAACTGAGAAATAGGTGTCTTATTCTTGCAATAATGAAAATACACAGAGGTGAATTGGGCATTTTTAGTAGTAACTGTTTAGGAAATAATAAACTTAGGAACTGAAAAGCCAGTTTATTTTGGCATTAATAAGAGGGTTTTTTAGAAATTTTAGAAGAAAATAGAAAGAACACCTATAGCTAATTCCTTAGAATCTCTGCCTGATGTGATGCTATCAGATCTATAATGGAGATAAAAGTGGTCAATGTCAACACAGTTAAAATATCCCATATTTCACGTCTTTTAAAGCTATGCTGAAGCTTTTGTTCTTGTCTTTCCCCACCCCATGTAGACTCACACAGGAGAAAAAGAGAAGATTTGCCCATATTGTGGACAGAAGTTTGCAAGCAATGGAACACTGAGAGTTCATATTCGAAGCCACACAGGTACAGTGTTGTTTGTTGTAATGAACAGAGAAGATTTTCTAAATATATAACAGGGTGTCTGTAAGTGTGTCCACAATTTATGTATCTACAAACAGAAATGCAAATTTACAGGTAGGCCTAACACAAGCATCTTTTTCAGACACTTTAACTGCTTAATGTGTAAAACCATATTCTATTCTCAACTGTAATTATGTATGAATGTGTGTGTGTATATATATATGAACATTTACATCTATATACAATGTGAATTCATTAATCTCTGTGGTTGCTAAGATGTTTTGAAAGTCACATTTCGTGTTGATGTAACTTCTGACCTTATCACAACCTGCATGTTACCGAAGTTAGAATGTTCTACCTTAAGTATGCTTTAACTCAAAATTTATTTTCTGTTGCAACATCTGACTTACTCTGCTAGTCTCCTAATATTCCTAGGTCCGAGTTATGCAACTTCTTGTATGTTGCCACTCAGACTGCATTACTGTTTCCCTATCATGATATATATGGTCTTCTGTAAACACACTGAAAATTAGTTGTGTTGTCATGTTGATAGTTTTATTTTGGGAGCTTATGCTTTCATTCAAATAAGTGGCTGGCAACTGGAAGGGCTTTCTTTGTGATATTTTGTTTCCAACATAAAATGGTATAGATTTGCCTTTGGCAGTCAAAGCGTTGGTTAACAAGTAGCCTTCCTATAACATTCCATTTACTTCGCATAAGCAAATTTCATTTACAGGGGGATAACAGAATTGGTGTGTTTAATCATTTGGCTTTCTATTATGTTTGGAAAAGTCTTAAATCAGTCTATCAAAAGCACCTCTTAGGATTACAGGTTTTACTAGTTTTTGATATATTGCGTTTTTTGGATTTGACTGCTATTGACACTAGCAAATTTTTATCCTGGTACTGCAGTCAGAATAAAAGGCTAAAACTGACTTTTATCTTCATCTCTTATTCTTTACTAAGTTCTATGTTTGGAACACTTATCCCTCATAGCAGCAGTATAAAAACATATACATATAAGCCTTCATATATGCATTCTGCTCAGGTGGTTCGCATGTACTGTATAGTCATAGACAAAAAAGACATTGAAGGTCAAAGCTGGCAAGACCCAGAATTGCAATGCAGCAGTTCTGTCCATTCCTCCTCTTCATTCTTGGTTCGTTCTTCTACAACTCCACCTTATGAACTCCTTTCAAAGTCCTTCCTGCACAATCTCACCTGTTCTGTCTTTCTCTTCATTCTTCTGTCCTGTAAGCTGTAGGTTTCTCTTCTTTTCTTGTCTTCCTGAAGATGTAGAGAGAGAGGGGGAAAAAAAAAAAAAAAAAGCCCTAGCCCTCATGGAGTATGTGGTGTGAGGATTTGGAGAACCTTTGGGGACTGTGCCTTTTGGAAAGGAAGCAATTCAATAGCATTGTTAATTAGTCACTCGGCACATCAGTCCAGGCTTCTGGGAATATGACTTCCTCGATGTCTAATCTATGTCAACTTTTTTTTTTCTGTTTTAATTATGGATATTTCTTTACTTTCACCTTGCCATCCTATGAGGAACTACATTACCCTTTAATTTTCTGATATTTTGGCATACTAGGCTTTCATGAAAATTAGGACTTTTGTAGGTTTTTTTTTTTCCCCAGTGCTTAAAGGAATATCAAAATGTTATTCTAATTCTTCATTAAAATCTCAGGATTCACATTGCAATGTTTTTTGCAGGCACGTCTGCTTTATTTCCTTTAATAGTGTGGTGCTTTTGTTGTTTCTTATTTCACCGGCCCTTTCCTTAAACCTTAGGTATGTTTTCTGTGTACTATCAATGTTATACGTCAGTTTGCACAGAGTAGAAAGGCCCTAGTTTTTCTAGTTTATAGTGCAGATAGCACTTGGGAAAATGTTTTATAGCTGAGTGAAAATGCTTTTCACACATGTGCTGCTACCAGTTACATTTAAAGTTTTAGCTATCTCAAGGAGGCTTTCCTAAATTAAGGAGTTAGGCTAAGGTGTTTCAACCACACACCAGAGACCTCTAACCTTGACTGTAGAGCCTTGCAAAATTTGTAGCCACTATTATACGAGAAACAGTAAACAGACATTTTGAACTTACTTCAAGTAGGACGACACTGAAGATTTCCGGTACATTTGTAAGTTAAATATGGTGGGAGAAACTACCTTGCCAGGAGATGATACAGGTTGGAATTATGGGAATACACAGTGTGAAAAATACTTAGGAAGGAATAACACTGCAGAAGGAGGGAAACATTCAAGGCCTCTTTCTTTACCTTAAAACCTAGAAGCACTTGTTTTAAACAGAGTTGCTAATTCAGGAAAAATGCCTTGCTAAATTCATTTATCATGACCTGTGATGAATAAGCTCTGGTCTTTTCCTCTTCCAGTCTAGCTGCTATTGTGATGTCAGTCACATTTTTGGTGGAAAATTTTGTGCTTCACATCCTTCACTGTGAGAATCAACTGAAATACATTTTCATGGTTGTTTTTGATGTCATTCTGTTATGATTCCTGACCATTTCTCGACTACCCTGATGAAATGTGGGCGGAAAAAAAGAGGGGGGGAGCTGCTACTAAGTTGTGACTTCTGGTTTTAAAAAATAAGTCTGTAAGTTATATGTCAAAATGCCTTATGTGAGGTTTAGTGAGAAAATGCCATAGTTAGATTCATGTTGTACTTCTATAGAGATGTTTTTGACTTAGTGCTGTACCTGAAGACTTCACTCAAGTTGTTCACGATCATAATACATGCAGACTAATTACAAGAGGAAATTGTCAAATGTTCAGTGGGCCTGAAGAAGCATAGCTTTCTGAGGAATAGCTTGCATCATTTCCAAAGAAAGGGTAGTTGGTGAAGAGAATCAGTGTCATCTGCAAATGGTACAAAAGAAACGTTGAGGACTCATTTGATGGCTTTTAGTAATAAAAGTCACTGCATTGTGAAAATCCATGACAACTTTTCAGGGATTTTCTGAACAGTAAAAAATTTTCAGTTCATCAAACAGTGCAGCCTCAAACTTGTTTTATTCAGTGATGGATGTTTGGTTTCTAAATGTTGCAGTGTTTAATACTGATGCTCTTAGCATCTATTAAATTATGTGGTTTTGAATTAATCAATTCAAAACCGTGCCCTCTTTTTTTTTTTTTATCAGACTTCAAAGTATCGCTTTTCATTCTGAGCTAGAAGTGAAACGACCAGTCACTGTCTGTTTTTAAAGACATCATTCATCTTGAAATCAGATGATTTCAAGGCCAGCTGGGGCTAAGCTTTTGGTGCAACTAAGCAGTACACCATAAGTGTAAATATTGTGAAGACCTTCATGTCTTAGTGATTACAGCTGATTACATTTGAGGTCCTGGTACAGCCATTTGTGTTACCCCATTTTCTGTGCGTGTGGTCAGCTAGACTTTGTTTTGTCAGCTACTTTGTATAAGAGGCTTTGTTCTGTATTTACCAACTAAAGCCAGGCAGAGCTCTTTTAAAGAGAGTTGTGTATTAATTTTTATCCTTTTTTTATTTATAAAGATTCTTTATAAAAGCTGAGGTTCTTGGATACCCTCCTGGTCCTGCTTTGGAATTGTATTTTTGCTGTGATTAATAATCCATATACAAAAAGAGAAGCTCAGTAGGGGTTTGGGTTTTATTTAATATGCAGCATGTGTTCTGAAATATTGTTACTCACAGATGTATGTATGCTTCTTCGATAAGCAATTTTCTTCCTTCTCTTATCTTAGAGTAAGACTCTCTAAATGAGCCCTAACAGTACTTTGCCTTTTGCAGAAACTGAGCTGGTTTGGGGTGAGTGAACATGTCTGCATGTGTATGTATAGAGGGAAGGAGTTGATGTTTGTGTCTGAACCTGGCGTATTACTCTGTAATTCATCATCTGGGTTTCCAGCCTTGGCATGACAGAGACAGCGCTCTGTAGGTCAGCTGAAACACTATAGCACATTCTCCCTCTGCTGTATCCTGTTGGTTTATGACTTTTTAGGGTCAGAGGGAGCTGGGGTTAATTCAGCAAAAGAATCCTCTGACTGTGATATAAATTCCTTGGCTTGTTCATAAATTGTAAAAGAAATTCTATGGTCTGCTCTTTGGGCTTGAAAACTGAGGGCCAGGAGGTTAATTACTTCCCTAAAGTTTCAAGCAACTTTCAGTGTTAACAGTTACTGGCTGTGGTTTGTGCAGCTCCGCAGTTGACCTATACATAGGTATTTAAATATATTAATTGCAGTCTTGTGTGTATGTGTATGTATTTGTGTGTGCCTATGTTATACACACACACATATATACACACACACGCATTTTACCTCTCTGATATTTATACTGTTTTCTTAATTACTTCTATCCTAATCTCTTCCATCTTTGGGATGTAGCACATCAAGTTGTGGAACAATGAAAGTTGTTGGGAGGTAGTTTATATTTGCAGGTTAATTTATTTTTGAGTTAAGAGAATCGAGTGTTTTAACTGTAATTCTGTCCTTTCAATGCTGTCTTTACGCACTCCATTACATAGGTGAGGGACAACTGATAACCATACATGTCTTCCAGAAAATGCTTACACGTGCAAATGCAGGTTAAAACGTAAGCTTATTTTACTTTCCCCATCACATTTAGTCAAAGTCCTGATAAAAAGCCAGTAAGATATCTATGACTTTACATCTGTCCTAAATGTTTTCTGAAAAGATTAATTTTTCTATTTTATACCATTTAAAAGCCATGACTCTAATGTGGCATTCTTACATGTTATATTCTCTGGTATGTGGAAAAAGCAGCTTTATTTTGTAAGCACGAGTTGAGAAGATTCTTTGTGAATTTGCTTCTATATACGTGAATAAAAGATAATACCAAGAGATTACATTAAAACAGCAAAAAGCATTCCGACCATGGACTTCCATATCCTTTGTGTCAACACAGTTAAGCTTACCTTTTCAATTTCCATTTCCATAATTAAAGACTGTTTTATAAGCTTGTGAAAACATTTCATCTACTTGTCCCC